GGCTCGGAACCTGATCCCGAACCTGACCCTTTTCCTGAACATCCATCTATCGGCCTCGCTCGTAGTACCACCATTCGGCAATACATAAATAACAATCGTTAGTGATACCGATACTTCTTGAGGGATCACAACTACCACAAGTTCCCTGGTCTTATCTTGGCCTTCCTTGGTTCGGTTACGGATCCTCTGCTTTCAGTAGTACGGGCCCATACTACCTTCCACATCTATCCGTACCTTCTTCAAGGACTGCCTCGACTCCACCAGATCCCTTTCACTACCACTGATCACTGCTATACTCATCCTAGGCTTGCCCTAGGGAAATCTCTGACTCTACCCTACCCAGTCCTCAACTACTGAAGGCCTCCTTGTAATGCCAATTACCCATTACCTAAATACCATCACATGTGATGAGGCTCAAATAATCCTTCGAGTAACAGACTCGTCCCTACAATGGTTAGACTCAAACGAGAGTTGTGCAATAGGGTCAAATCCCGCACTCTAAGATTATTCAACCCAGATCACATGTGGTGTGACGTATTCACCTAATGGCTAATTCCCGTCACTCAGAGTCCCACAAAGCTTAAAGCAAGCAGCATTCGAACTAAGGGAACAATCTCAAGCAACTTCGCTCCCATAGGGAGAACTGAACTAACATGTAATGCTAAACTCATACTATTAGGCATAACCCCTAACCGGGTATTCTACTGCTGTCTACTCAAATTTAGCATGCAATTTTCAAACACCGAGCACATAAAGCAGGCACATAAGGCATCACTCCTAGATCCTTAGTCCTATTCTAGCATGCTGTTCTACTGAAACTGATAAACACAACATAAACTTGTATGGGTACTTTGGGGAATACTTACTTGAGCTCGGCCGGTTGCGCACATCACACACTTCGTTCCTTCTTGAAATATTTTACTTAACCTTTTAGAAAACGTTTTCTTTTTCAAAATCTTTGGATCCCTCGATTTGAGTTCAGATACCCCCGAGGATGTGTTTGAATCCCTCAAACCAGGGCTCTGATACCAACTTGTAACTCCCCAGAATTACTGGTTAAAAATTTCATTTTTAATTTAGGTTAAAACATAGAAACATCATTAAAAATATTCATGATCATAATCCATGTCTGAAAACCGGTGACATCATAATAAGAATTCAGAGTACATCCCAGAAAATCCATAGTGCGGAAAACAAAAGCATGTGTGTGATATGCCGCTACCGCGCCGGCTCTTTTCCCTTAGCTGAAGAGGTACCTAAAACCAAAACTGAAAACCGTAAGCACGAAGCTTAGTGAGCTCCCCCATAATACCTCATACCATGCAAGCATATAACATACAACATTCAGCTAGGAGTTACGGGCCTCACCCACACTCATGAAGATATGGGCCCTGCCCACACTTCGCTAGCCGGGAAATACGGGCCTCGCCTACACTCTACTATCTGGGAGATACGGACCTAGCCCACACTCCACCCTCAGAGAGATACGGGCCTTGCTCACACTCAACCGCTAACCCATAATATACAAGTACCACACAGACAACAAGTATAGACAACTCTATCATACTGGCACATATATCATAATCAACTAAACCAAGAGATACGGGCTCAGCCCACACTCTAGCGCTAACATCTCATCTACACGGGTCGGACTTGGTGCCTTAGACCCGTTCCTACTGGAAGGAAAACTCACCTCTAAGTAGCTGCTGCTCTGTGTGGGAATTGACTGTCGGTTGCTGCTGCAGCTCCGGAAATCCTCCCGCTATAATTCCCACAAAACACTCAATCAAACACCGTTAACTGACCCTCGGGTAAATTAACCATTTTACCCTTAATCAACTTAAAAGTCAAAGCCAGAGTCAACTTTCAGTTGACCCGACTCGGCGAGTTGGCTCTCCAACTCGCCGAGTCCTTGTCCAAACCATTGTTCTGCAACCCGTCTCTACTCGTCGAGTTGGGCGTTGACTCGATGAGTTCTCCTTCTAAACTGATGTCCAAGTCTTTCATCCTACTCGCCGAGTTCTATGAACAACTCGCCGAGTCTGTTCTTGATCTAAGAAGGTTGCCTTGAACTCACCGAGTCTAGGCATCGACTCGCCGAGTTTCCTCATGGGTGAGTTTTGGCTTCCAACTCACTGAGTCCACCCAGGACTCAATACACAACTCGACACAACGAAAAAGGGGACAACTCGGAGACTCGCGACTAGACTCGCCGAGTCAGATGAGTGACTCACCGAGTCTGCTTCATGCAAGAGCCATATACGCGATTTTGCTCGAATCCAGTCCATGCCATTCACAGATCTGGGTTCCTAGAGCATGAATAACACGTAAAGTTTCCAACTTTACGTGTAGATATTCCTCCATGACAGGTTTAGGGTTCAAAATGCACCAAAAGAGTAGATCTAAGGTCTTCATGCAACATGGGTCCATAAAGGCAGTAGATCTGAGCTCCTGGAGCTCAAACATGCCTAGATCTAGAGGCCAATCAGCTTATTGCGAATTATTTTGCACATACAAGCTTGGGGAAGGGCTCAAGAAGGACTTTAATGGAGTAACAAGCATAGAAACAGGGGGAAAACGAGTTATACCTCAAAGAAATCACTGAGAGAACACGAAGATGCTTGGCTTCCTTCCCTTCCTCTTGATCTACTCCATTTCCTTCTCAAAATCTTCAAGAACACACACTAAAATGCCTCAAACTCACAAGAACAAGGACTGGAACATATGGAGAGCTTCTGAGGGTGAAGGGGGCTGTCTTGGGGCGGAAATGAGGGCTTAAATAGGGTGCAAACCCCTGAAACTTAGGGTTTCACCAAACAGCGGTGACTCGCCGAGTCGCCAACTTGAACATGTCCCGGGTCCCGTCTCTACTCGGCGAGGGGGACCTATGACTAGCGGAGTCCAAGGCTAAAAATGGAAAATACTTAAATAAAATTTACGTACCAGGAACCAGGTGCTACACGTATAGTGTCGGGTCCGAGTAGGAATTGATTGATGTGTTCGATTTGAAGTTCTATGTCTTTATAGATCAAAAATCGGGAAACAGAGTATTGAACAATGAGATTAACTATGTTTCATGTCTCATATCCTTATGATACCTTGCAAAAATGAGGATTATATGGTCGCTTATCTTAGGACATGTTACTAACTAGATCAGAGTTCAACAACTTTTGGTAGCTACAATTTGCTAATCAATTAGGAAGATTATACTAGCAGTTATAGTTAGTAGACTTATTCAAGTCGCAGACTGTTGGATTAGATGTCTAAGCCTATAAATATAATTGATATTAACATGAATTGATAGTAGCACAGTCCTTTTGGGTTGCCCTAAAAGCAGACAATTAGAGAAGATTATACATGAGAAAAAGTTGATTTATTATTTGATTAATGAATTGGAATAAATGATTTGTTAATATATTATGAGAATAATATATTATTTTGAAATCATAATACTTTATTCATAATTGATAAGGTATTAATGAAAATTAAGTTTGAGATTAAGGGGATTAATTAAATAGTGCAGGGGCTGTTCGGCAATTATCAAAAACAACATAGCTTCAATAGGCTCTTTGCTTCTCTAATCATTTTATCAAGCACCTGTTCGCACACATACCATTATTGCCTTGTTGAATACAATCGTATATGTCGCTATTTAAAAATGAACAAATTTAATGCTTCAAAGTAACATACCACGATAGGATAAAAGAGAAATTATCAATCCAAAAACCAGAGTGACTTTCAAGGTCTAGGAGTAATGGAGTATTCTGTTTCACATAATGAATAGCTCAAAAGTTTTACAACAAATAATAACATCATATTTTTGTTTTAAAATCCTAATCAAAGTTAAGAAATATAACATCTTGAAGCTAGAGATAAACTGAGAGGAATCACACATCACATGAAATCGTTCAAGATAGACGCTTTGGCTTCGCTGGAGCACCCACCAGTAAAATTTAGATTGAACGTTAGGGCTACAAGTCGCATATCGCATGAAATCGTTCAACACAGACATATCATAGAGAAGTAGTGACAGTAAGATGGAAAGGGTTTCTCGGAGCACAACGGCTCTTGCTGACCGTTCTAGTGACACCCGCCAAGAGCACCTTCAACATTTGTCTACGTTTTCCTTCCGCCTCCTCTCCTTGACAGGATTGAATAGAAAAGAGAAACCGACTTTCATTTCGTAGAGAATAAGAATTTAGAAACGATGCAAGGGAAGACTTCTGGAAACCATCTGTTGGAGAGAAGAGGGCAATCCGAATCGAAGTCAAAGCCGATGTTCATAAGCCTAATATGAATTAATATTATGAGCGTATTTGGCTATGTTTATTTAAAATAATAAATATTTTTTAACTTATAGTAAGTTTATTATACGTGAGTTTTTAATAAGTTAATTTTTTAGAAAATCTATCCAATCATTAATTTTAAATTATACGTGTGTGGAACTGACAATAATTTAAAATTTTATTAAAATATGGTTAACCAAACACCCACTATATATGTATAATAAATAAGATAAGTGGACTTATCGGAAGTAATATGTCGTAAGAAATCACCTCATTTGATCGTTATAATTAAACTAACGAACAAAGAGTTATGTAACTCAGATAAAACCATATTAACATTTTATTCCGATATTCTTAGATTGTCTGTCCAAATTAAAAAAATTTATTATAAAATCAGAAATTAAATATTTTAACCCCCAAAAAGATTTGTCATAGAAGAAATCCATTCAACACATGAATTAAAATACCCGAAGATGGCCATAGGTAACTTTGCATCGATCACAAAATCATTAATCAGGTAACTTTGCATGGATAACTTCGTATAATAATCAATCGACAAAAAAAAAATAGAATTATTATATTAGTACCCGCTGATCATCCCACGTTTTATATGTCCTACACTAATGTCAAACTAGTATAGTGGTGTGATAAAAGATTTTCTTTTTGTTATATATACTCCCACTCATTCTTTAAATGTGAAGAAAATATACTAAAATGAAGAACACTCCGAATCTAAAATTCCGAAGCAAAACAGTAAAATGCCTGGCGTCATTACACCACGCGCTAACGTGCATGTGCCACTGGACTGGAACCACACTCTATTCGTTCCTCCGGGCTCTCCTTCTTCGTGTGGATCCTTTTTGGCTGCAACTCTGTTACTTTGTTACATTATTCATGTTAGGGTACATGTCTTTATCCATCTTGGAGCCTCGGAGTCCTATGAATCGCCCAAAAAGCTATGATCTTCTTTTCACAGCTGTCTCAGCTGTCACTGTATCTAGCATGGCTACAGTTGAGATGGAGGTTTTCTCGAATACCCAACTCTTTTGTTTGGCAATTTTGATGTTATTGGGAGGAGAAGTTTTCACGTCATTGCTTGAACTTCAAATCCAGATATTTAAGTTGTCAGAAAGGAAGTCAGCAAGCTCTCCTTCCTCAAACATGAATGTAGAGAACGGATTGATGTCTACAAATAGCAACATCGACTTGAAGTACAAATCAATGAAGTTTTTAGGGATTACTGTGCTATGTTACTTCTTTACAGTGCAAGTAATTGGATATCTTCTAGTTTCTCTGTATGTGGGTCTTGTTGTATCCATAAAAGAAGTGTTGATGAACAAAAAGCTTAACCTACAAGTATTCTCAATTGTTACCACAATCTCTACCTTCACCAACTGCGGATTTCTCCCAACAAATGAAAACATGATGGTTTTCAAGAATAATCAAGGCCTGCAAGTGATTCTAATCCCACTCGTTCTTCTTGGAAACACATTGTACCCGGTGTTCCTCCGGCTTGTACTATTACTTCTTGGTAAAATAAGTGTTAGAGAGGAGATAAAGTATGTTTTAGAAAATGAAGATGAGTTACGTTATCCGCATTTGTTATCAGGGGTAGATTCGTGGTATCTTTCGCTAACATCTGTTGGATTCACATTGATTCAGTTTGTGCTTTTGATGTCTATTGGGTGGAAATCTCAAGCCATGCATGGTTTAAATACTTCAGAGAAAGTAGTGGGTTCCTTGTTTCAAGTTACGAATACCAGACATACCGGTGAATCAGTCTTTGATCTTTCCCTCGTCTCTCCAGCAATCATTGTCTTGATTGTTACCATGATGTAAGTCAATCCCTCGCTCTTCTGAAGATAATTTAACGTAATATTTACTTTGCTTTATACTAGTTTTAATGTCATACATGTTATAGTGAATGCGACTGAGTAATCCAACGAAACGCTGAATTCGATATCTACACGATTAGAATTGCTAATAATCTATGTGGAACAAGCTCATACAAAAAAAATTATAGCTGTAAACATACGGGATGCATTTGAAATAATGTGAACGAATTAAAATTGATTATTTACTCCCTTGTTTGTTTTCAATCACTTTAGACACACGGACCCACCACATGCACTTGACAGGTAGGCAACGATATTGTCCGAATTAAATTCTAAGTTAGACTAGTCAGGAGCCCAGAATCTCATATTCCTAAGCATGATTTCACACCGCACTTATGCCCACTAATGTTTGGAAGAATACTATTCACCACTCTCTCATGGTAGTTTGAACTTAGGCACTAAGTATTATGCATTTATGGTGGCATATCAGATCTTATCTCAAATACTTTATTGGTATTTATATTCTATAATACTTTTCAATAAAGTGTATTTAGTACTATTTGTCTTCCGCGAAACTTAGTGATCTTTTCTAAAGAATATTTGTTTCTTTTTATTAAACTGATTTGGATTTGTTTTCTTTTTGGTAACCTTCGTACAATTTCAATAGCTATGATCAAGTATATATTTGTAATTAAACACCTGATTTCGATGGACACCTCATCAAGATATTGAACGGATATTTATCATATATTAGATTCTCTTACTACTTATTGACTCATGAACTTACTCCTTTCACAAATAAATAACGAACAGAACAAAAGAAAGCATAATGTCGTGAAACTCCTAAATCGCACTTTTATAATTAAAGAAAAACTAAAACATCATATTAAATTGTTGATACAAGTACAAGTATGATTAAGGTGTTGGAAATCAGACAACAAAATATCAAGCTACATACTAAAAATATTCAACCTGAATTAAGAATTAAAGGCACACACACTTGAAGAACTTTTTGGAAGTTTTTTATTCTAATGCTCTATCTTCAAGTAAAACAGGGATCCAAACATTTATAGACTACTACATTGAATGTTGAAATAAAGAGGCTTTTAAACTAAGAATTGAAACTGAAATACTTTACTACCTGGTTAACCATATTAGCTAATTATATGGTAACCACTTATTCATTCTTTAATGCATTAAAACTAAGTTAAACATGAACCAAATCAGGATTAATTCCAACACCCTTAATCTTGATTTATGTCTTCAAGTCTTCAACACCCAACAAATTCCGCATTTCTACAAATTTGACTCGTGGGAGTGCTTTGGTCAAGATATATGCCTTTTGTTCTTGCCCGCTTACATGCTCAACGCAAATGAAACCTTTATCTACACATTCTCGAATGAAATGGTACCGGGTGTTGATGTGTTTACTTCTCCCTTGAAATACCGGGTTCTTCATCAGCTCAATTGCAGATTTGTTGTCTACAAGAAGCTTTACACAGCTTACTTTAGAACCTGTCAGATACTTCAATCAACTCTGTAACCACAAAGCTTGACACGCTGTCGAAGTCGCCGCCAATAACTCGGCTTCGCAAGAAGACAAAGCTATTGTTCGTTGTTTTGTGAACACCAAGTGATTAGATTTCCTGAAAAATAAAATGCCATCCCAGAAGTACTTTTCCCATCTTCACGATCCCCATTGTGGTTGCTGTCACTGTAGCCGAGTATCTTCCCATCTCCTCCCTTCTGATACACTAACCCATAGTTGATAGTCCCTTTGATGCATCGCAGAATTTGCTTAACTGCTTTGAGGTGACTTTCTCGTGGTGACTCCATGTATCTACTAACGACACCCACTAAATAACTTAGGTCTGGTCTGGTGTGAGTGAGGTAATGGAGGCTGCCAATCAGGCGCCGATAATCAGTGGCATTGACTGGCACTCTATCTTCATCTTTTGTTAGAGCAAGCTTTGGTTCCATTGGGTATTTTGATGGGTTACAATCTCCCATGCCTGCTATTTGTAATATCTTCTTAGCATACCCGATTTGGCTGATTGTGATACCTCCATGCCCTTGTTGGACTTCTATCCTCAGGTAATAGGATAGACTCCCCATATCACTCATGTCAAAATTCTTTAGCATCCGCCTTTTGTATTCAGCCACCAGCTCCTCACTTGTACATGTCACGATTAGGTCGTCTACGTAAACACCCACAATCAAGATGTTATTTGATTTTTGGAGCTTGTATACGGCATATTCCTGTGGGCACCTTTGGAATCCCATCTCTTTCAAGGTCTTGTCAAGTCGATCATTCCAAGCTCTTGGTGCTTGTCGCAAGCCATAGAGCGCCTTGTTAAGCTTGTAGACCATGTTTTCTTTTCCAGCAATGACAAAACCTGTTGGTTGAGTAACATACACCTCTTCCTGTAGAATTCCATTCAAAAACGCAGATTTCATATCCAAGTGATGAACTTTCCACCCTTCACTTGCTGCTAATGCCAGTACCAAGCGAATTGTCTCCACACGAGCCACAGGTGCAAAAGCCTCATCAAAGTCTACACCCTTTTGTTGTACATATCCCTTTGCGACGATTCTGGCTTTGTGTTTTGTTACTTTCCCTTCTGCGTTCGTTATCAACTTGAATACCCACTTCAGCCCTATCGCCTTTTGCCCTTTAGGGAGATGAGTCAATTTCCATGTATTGTTGTTTTCAACTGATTCCAGTTCTTGTTTCATCGCATTTCTCCATTTTTTGTCACCTGAAGCTTCTTCATACGTGGCGGGTTCTTCACCTGCGTACATTAGCATCTCTAAATCATCTTCCATCTCCTGGGTTTCGTTATAAATGTCTGTTAAGGCCCTAAATCCTCGAACAGGGGTATCGTCATACGTGGACCTGTCTACGTCTTCTTCTGATGTTGGACTCGTGGAGTCTCCTGGACTTATTGGGACTTCGCTCACAAGAGGTGAATGATCTGCTGGTGTTGTGGATAACTGATACCCATGCGGTGGCAAACTAGGGCTACCAATTTCTCCTAATGTTGGATAGAGCTCCTCCATCGTATCTTGGGCTATTCTTTCACTAGGGAACCTGACCCAAGAATTACTTAGTATTGGGCCTTCACAGGGGACTTTAGCCCAATCCCATTTCCTTTTCTCTTCAAACCGACATCTCTTGATACATATATTCTATTTCGTTTAGGGCAATACAACCGGAACACCTTACTTCCGGCCTCGTTTCCTAAATACACCATTTGATCACTTCTATCTCCCAACTTTGTGAGTTTATTTGTTGGTATCTTTACGTGAGCTACACAACTGAACACTCTAAAGTGTTCCAATGTTGGCTTCATCTCCTGTAGAGCTTCATATGGAGTCATGTCTTTTACTCCTCTTGTTGGGACTCGGTTTAAAATATGCACGGCGTGGCGAACGGCTTCTCCCCACAGTGTTTCTGGGACATCCATGGCTTTCAGCAAGGACCTGGTGGTTTCAAGAATTGTACGGTTCCGTCATTCTACCACCCCGTTCTGTTGAGGGGAATAGGGTGCAGTCAATTGCCTCTTGATTCCTTCCTGATTGCAGAACTCAGTGAATTCATTTGACGTGAATTCACCTCCTCGATCTGTGCGCAACAAGTTTAATTTGTATTTCCCTTCACCTTCTACTCGATTCTTGAACTTCTTGAAGGCAGTGAAAGCTTCACTTTTGTCTTTGATCATCGACACCCACATGTATTTGTTGTAGTCATCTACCATGAGAAGGAAGTACCGGTTGCCAGCTAGTGTTTGGGGCGTTATAGGACCGCACAAATCTGCATGAATCAGTTCAAGTGGAGAGCTTGCACGCCACTGTGCTACTTTTGGGAACGGATATTGGGTCTGTTTGGCAACTAACATCCCTCACAAATCTGTGTGGGATGCTGAATTATTGGCACTCCCCGCACCATATCCTTTACCACCATAGACTCGATCACACAGAAGTTTACGTGACCCAATCTTGCGTGCCACAGCCATGATGTATCATCTAGGCTTGTACTAAGGCACACAGGTTGTGTTGTGTGCAGTACAATCTTGTACAACTTGTTCTTTGAACGTTGTACCTTCATTATCAACCTGTTGCTAGCATCATGAACCCTTAAGAATTCATGAAGCATCTCGATCTTGTATCCCACTTCTATCATCTGTCCTAGGCTAAGTATATTACTCTGTAAAGATGGGATGTAATATACCTCATAGATGACTTGTTGCTCTGCATTTTTTCCTTCCAAAAGAATTGTACCCCTTCCTTTGATCTGAACTTTAGACCCGTCCCCAAAACGCACCTGCCCTGTTACTCTTTCATCAAGTTCTGCAAAGTACTCACGCACCCCTGTCATGTGGGTACTGGCCCCATTATCCAAGTACCATGTATCCTTCTCATTTTCTTTTGTTGCTGGGAACACTTTGTCTTCATTAAGCAGTACCCAATTATCTGTATCTTCACCCCAAACAGTCAACAGTAAAGCGGGTCCTTCTTCTCCCATCTGAGTCAAGTTTGCCTCAACTCTTTTTTTTTTCTTGGTGCTTTGCATTCAAATGCATAGTGACCATATTCTTCACAGTTGAAACACATGATATGACTCTTATCCCTTCCTCTTTGGCGATTATTACTTGAGTCACGAGGCGCCGACGAATTACCTCGACCACCTCTGCCTCGTGCACTTCTTCTACCACGACCACCCAATCGACCCCCTCTTTCATGATGAGACGAGCCCCATCCTCTACCGCCTGTTGAGAACCCACCCTGTGAAGACTTTTGATTGAGCTTATTTTCTGTTTGAGTAAGTAACAAACTCGCTTCCCCACTTGTTTGGCTGCTACGGGACTTTAGTCGGTCCTCGTAAGCCTTAAGCCTACCAATTGCTTCTTCAAAAGGCATGTTATCCAAATATGAGTACTACTCAATCGATGCCACCAACTGGAGATACTTATCTGGAACTTAATCAAGTAGCTTTCTCACCAC